ATGATGTTCAAAGTGCATTTCATAATATCGACTGAAGAAATGATTTTAAGGGCAATCTCTGAGAAGTGGCGGGAGCATCGACACCTCCGCACTGATTCAAGTCGGTACTGCGGCCCGCCGATCTCATAACAACTATTTAGAAGCGAAGTATTCGCTTGCAGCGCCACAAGTTAGTTTAGGTCCATCTAGTGCCTTTTTAATAATTCTTCAAATCTGTTTCAGTTAAGTAATATCCAGCTCTGAATTATTAGATCCGCAGAATTTTTTCCACTCTAACTCCACTAAATCCTGTCTTTACACCGCTCAGTGCGTCCACCTTTTGCTGTAATGTTGCATTCCAGCATTACCAGCCAGTGCGTTTGCTCGCAAAAAGCGAATTGTATCTGGACACGTCAAAACCGTTTTCAATCCAATCGCATTCAGTGGTATATGTGTCTAATACGATTGCCTAATACTTAAATATAAATAACGCGTAAACTCTTGCAAAAAGTCTATTTCTTATGTCTAGGTCGCTCTGATAGATTTTCTCGGCGAAAAAATGACAAGTTTCGCAAGCGTTAGTGAAGCCTAACGCGCAACGTTTGCAATGCAGAACACATGAAACTAGGCCGCGGTGTGTGGGGTGGGGTTGGGGGCGGGTTGCTTGGAGTTTCGCACATAATTCATAATCAACTTTCCACCATGTCAACACAATGTAATTAATAATTCCTGACCCAACACTAAAAAATCATAGAATATTTTGAACCTGTTTTTGTCCAGGAGATTGTTTTATATACCTTTCATATTTCGTTTCCTCTGTACAGTCTTTGGGTTCTGTTTATATATTAATCCTAAGAATATTTAAGTAATATATGTTTCCGGATTTTTCCTCTCCCAATTGGTCCCCCTAAGCGTCTTTCCCTGCGCAAACGTCACGGGTACACAAATAAAGCAATCCCTAATGCCCCAGAGCAGATATCAAGTCGCAGAAATATCAAAATAAAAACACTGGACATTCTTAATTGATGACTTTTCTTAAATACGTCTTGGCACAATTAGTATTTGACTTCACACTTTATATCAGCTGCGTGTTTTTTATTTATTAATGTGATCTAATCTGCTGAAACAATGACGCAACGTAAAGCTTCTTCTTCACACGCGAAATCTACATAGTAACTTACTGTAAAGGGAATATACAGTGTATAACGACACCGTGCAAGCGATGGGTTTAAAATAGCATATTATACAATGAAAATGTGACGCTTTGATGTATGAACTGATTTTAAGTCGATAGGGAAGACTAGGTGGCATACCAACAGCCGAGCAAGCTTTTAAGAGGGAGCTACGCTATATCTCCATCATTATAGCCATCGCTTAATCAGCTTTTAGATGGCGTAAAAACACTCTTATACTCCAGGATCTTAATTACTTACGCAGTTGTAAAGTATGGTTTGTAGGTGTCGCCAAGCATTGTTTAATACACATGAAATGAGATGCATTAGAACGGGTTGCAGGGTGCTGTGAGGAGCTGAGACTTCAAGAAGTCAGAGATGCGGGATTGCTTGGTGTACGTAAGAATATTATGTATACGGTGATTTGTTGTTAGTGTTTGTATATAAGGCTGGTTAATCCTGCTTTTGTAGAAATAACAGTCAACATCCCTGCACAGTGTGGATGTCACTTACGCACCAAGCCCAGGAGAGACCATAAGATATTACAGCAATGTTTGTGGGCGAGGTGCACAGTTGCTTTTGTAATTATTTAGGGAAAGCGACCACCTGGTGTCCTGGTATCAGGAGATCTGACCGGTTACCCCGGGTGTCAGGATATCAGACCGGTTTCATGATAACAGCAGATATATAATTACACCATTGACGTTTGTAACATCAGTCTAATACGAGAACACCATACGGACGTTCAGTGACTTTATTGGGTAAACGTATGTTTCTTATATTAATTCAGTATATTTAGTTTCGTGATATATTATGTGCATGACCTTACAGTCGTTAAATGGCGCGTGATGTATAGATGATATTAATTCGATATTCACAATGAACAGTTAAATTGCAAACATAAGCAGGGCGCGTTTTTGTTCTACATTAATATATACAATGCATATAACACGCGGTGTTTGATGCATTGATTTCTATTCTCTTTACTAATTTGTAGGAGAGCCTATATATTATAGGACGTGAATTCTATAAGTGAGACAAGGCTGTCTTCGAAGCAAAACACGTGGCCGTAACTTGAACGCTGGACAGGGTAGACATGCACCTGACGTGTGTGATCAGCACGTGGCAGCTTTCCCTGAAGCACGATGGAGTACGTGAGAATTAATTCCGGGAAAATTCCATATGAGTGCAAACTGTGTGATGCTGCGTTCTCCTGTCTGAGTAGTGCGAAGGTACACATGAGAAGTCATACGGGAGAGAAACCGTATAAGTGCGCGCTGTGTGATGCTACCTTTGCACAATCGGGTCACCTGAAGAGTCACATGAGAACTCACACGGGAGAGAAACCATATAAGTGCGATCTGTGTGATGCTGCCTTCTCACGTCTGAGTAATGTGAAGACACACATGAGAACTCACACGGGAGAGAAACCATATAAGTGCGATCTGTGTGATGCTGCCTTCTCACGATCGGATGATGTGAAGACACACATGAGAACTCACACGGGAGAGAAACCATTTAAGTGCGATCTGTGTGATGCTACCTTCTCTTGTCTGGATAGTGTGAAGAAACACCTGAGAACTCACACTCAAGAGAAACCATATAAGTGCGATCTGTGTGTTGCCGCCTTCACACAATCGGGTACACTGAAGGCACACATGAGAACTCACACGGGAGAGAAACCCTACAAGTGCGATCTGTGTGATGCTACCTTTGCACAATCGACTTATATGAAGACACACATGAGAACCCACACGGGAGAGAAACCGTATAAGTGCGATCTGTGTGATGCTACCTTCGCACGATCATGTAATCTGAAGACACACATGAGAACTCGCACGGGAGAGAAAACGAAGAAGAAAAATACGAACGAAAAAATCCTTTTAATGTAACATTTGAAGTGAAGAGTTAGTTCTGGAACCCTATTATCACACATGGCAATGCATAATAACTATAGGGAGATGTCGTCCAGATGTAAATTAAGCAGAAAGTACATCTCGAACTGTCAGACTCACATGTAAGATCAGCTTGGCTCTGTGAACAAGCGAGCACACAGCGCACATGTGAACTGGAGCAGTGCGGAATACCAATTAATGCAACTCAACTGTTACAGTTTCTTTCCAAAGTAGAAGCTGGACTAGGAATTAATTGAAAAAGTCTTCAAATCTTTAAGGTATACAACTGGACTGTGTTGTTTGTGATTTCTTTGGTGTTTTGAATCTATACCTAACCTGTGGCCATGAAAACTCTTTGTAACTTTTTGTAAGTAACTGTACGTTTGAACACTGATCTAATAAAACGCATTATGATTCATAATATCAATGTCTACCGTCAAATTCAGAACCCTGTGTTACAGGTTGGTATTATTGATCATGTATACATAGATATCAGTACAGTAGTATCAGGGGTTAATAATGACAAACATTGTCTTATTAACCCCTGGTAGTATGTATATGTGTGTGCGTGTGTGCATTCAATGATTCATGTAAATTTATATGCACATAGTAGTGATGAAAATTGCAATTGTAAATAAATCATATATGCCTCACTTCTTCTAGGTTTCAAAACCTAGACTTTTTACCAGGCATACAGGAGACCATAACAGATCTGTTTGCAGTAAAATTAAACTTCTTCTACTCCAACTGTTTGGATTAGATCGGTTGCTGAAGAGATTCGATCGTGGGTCACGACTAACTTTTTAAGTTTTTAGGCAAGATGCTAGAAAAATGCACACACTCATTAACCCATAACAGTTTATAAATTCAAGGTTAAAATTTCAAAACACAAGCAAGCAGTGTATCACTGTATGTAAACGAGCTCTCTGCGCACATTACATGTAAGCTATAGAGAGCATTTATAGAGTCCTATATTGTTATAATATACTCTGACATTCATTAGAATTTAGAGTGGGTGGAAAATCATGGATTCACAGCGAAAAAGACCGATTGCTAAATGTTGTAGTGAGGGGAGTTTGAGGTCGTTATAAACTTATAGTCACAATTAGCACAATTCCATGCCTAATTTTAGAACCCTGGACAAATATCGATTACAGTAAAATGATATGATTGTGATATTAAAATTTATTTAAACATTGTTTAGACCTATTTATATAAAAGCAATGGAAAATAAAATATATAATACAATCATGAATATATGTATCAGAAAATAATTAATGATATAATACACCCTATCATCCTATGCATAACATAGGTCGATAGCATTCAAGCAGATATGTAATAATATCTTTATAAACCCGAAGCACCAATCAATTGAAAGCGTCCAAGGAAATAACATATCCAGTCGAAAAAGTCTCATTTAAAAATTCCCGTCTCCCGTGCGTAAACCTACCCTGGTTGATCGTAAAATCGTTTTAACTTTTTCCACTACAATCCGCTGTACCGATCTATCGATATGATCTACTCCCATTCTTTCTGTCTTCCGTATACACTGCCGATGTATCGATATGAACGACTCCCATTCTCTCCGTCGTCCGTATACAGGCCGATGAATCGATATGATCGACTCGCTCTTACAGTTTTTAGTATATATACACTGCCAATGTATCGATATGATCGACTCGCTCTTACAGTTTTTAGTATATATACACTGCCAATGTATCGATATGAT